AAAATTTTTAAAAAAAAAAAAAAAAAAAAAAAAAAAAAAAAAAAAAAAAAAAAAAAAAAAAAAAAAAAAAAAAAAGCCATCCTCCCTGCTGCTGAAAAAACGTGGGACTTTTCACCCCCTGTGCTGAGAAACCTGGCTTTTTTTATTTTATGTTTAATAAATTGTTTATGCTTCGGTGGACTTATAGTTATCAGCTCGGTCCACCATGCAGCTGGTAGGTTGCAGTGTACGGGATTCAAACTCTGTATCTCGTATGAACTATGCAGTCTGATGTGTGTACACGGTTTCTCTTGATAAGATCCACACCAATGGATTTTCTCAATGAATTCTATCAATGGCTTGATGAGATCCCATCACTGGTAATGTGTTTGCACCATGGCAAGTCAAAGAAAAAAAAGAAAAAAAAGAAAAAAAACGTGCATTGCAGTAGAAGAACATCATAATGTAACCAATTGTATCACAACTTATCCGCTGCAGCAGGACAGGTTTGTGTTCTGGTGGAACTGCTACTCAAGCGCTCAGTGCTAGTGGCGGTGGAGAAGGTGGTGCTGAGGAGAAGGCTGAGGAGGAGAAGGAAGAGGCTCTGGAAGCGGGGAGGAAGAGAGAAGGACATAGCTTTCAGTATATGCTCTACCAGAATTTTCCTTTTTTCTTAGCATAGTCCTTTGGGAACTGGCAGTCGTGTGTTGTCAGCAGGCTGTCTTCCATTTCCGGATTTTTTTGCACCTTTTCTTTGCCCAGGGCGAACGACGAGGGTTTCATGGGTGCTTGGAGGGATTAGTGGGTCTCCGCTACCCTTGCTACATGCACGGGCTGGTCCGCAAGCCATTGAGAGAGTTGTGATCAAATGGATGCAGGTCCGGTTTCAGGTGCACCATTGTTTTCATGGTCTCTCATCATTCCGTTAGCCCATTCAGGGACAGTGTGAAGTGGGGTGGTGTGTTCTCTAAATGTGGTGCAGTCCGCGAGGAGTTCTGGCATGGAAAACTGCAGCTAGCAGCTCATAGCTTGGTCTCCATCCAGGTAATGGTAAGCCTTCTGATAGTATAAGAAATCCATGTAATATAACAATGATAATAATATAGGTAGGAGTTGTTTCTCCAGGTTTTGAACTCAGGAGTTGTACACGATGGGAGGCTGTTTGAGTCTTTAATCCACACGGTTTAAGCCACTCGCTGCACTGTTTTCCAGGTTTTGAAGTGTAGATCTTGTCCTTCAGGACATCCGTTAAGATTGGAGCGATACAGAGAAGATTAGCATGGATGGCCCCTGCGCTTTCAAGGATGACACACATAAATCAAGAAATGGTCCAAATTATTGTTAAAAAAAAAAAAAGTGTAGATCTACACTTCAGGAGGGTGTTTGCGTCGAAATCCGCACAGGCTCAGCTGTCTGCACTGTTTGCTGCCGTTAGCTTTCCATATCGTAAACTCGGTAGTTGTACCACAGGGTCAATGCGGGCACCCCTAGATCCATCTGAATGGGGGGAGGAAGAGAGAGGGGGGGGGTGGGGGGGAGGGGAATTATGATGTTATCTGTAGCTGAGCATCAGTTAAGTATGCCACCGCGAGTGTGGCATGTTTTCCACGATCCAGTTGGGGTATTGCATTGTATTGCATCATACGGCGCTCACTGGATCTGCATACGCTGCCGGACGCCTTGTCAGTTACTTCATCATCTCGCACTCACTGACTCACTCCCTTTGTCTTTCAAGACATCCATTCGAAGCTTCAAACTGTTTTTACACGCGAGAAAGAGAAGGAGAACATTCAGGCCAAATTGCACCCCATCCCTGCGTGAACTCTGTAATTTTCTAGCATCGTCTTCTCATCATCTAGTCAAAACACACCCATGGTAACTCTCTTCACAGCAACTTCCCTCCCTCCTCCATACATCAGCGACGGTTATGCGTCGTGTCTGTCTTATATTTTTTTGAAGGCTTGTCCATACTGCACCGGGGCTAGGAGGATCGTGTGCATGTAGACATCTTTCACAGCAGCCTTGAACTATTCGATTTACGCATCAGCAAGTACTGAAAGGAGCTGATATGTGAAGCTTCTCTCAAAACAAGTAGAGACTGCATGAATGATATAAAAAATGCTATTTGGAAATAGTCCCAAAAATGGCACCTAGAACATGATCATATCGATGCCAAAACCTGTTGCATCAGTCCTTCTCTGGGGTGTTGTTGGTGGCGGTGGGGAAGGACATAAGACGGACTTGCCCGATTACTGATTGTCGGAGGCCACATGCCTTGTACGAGGAAAGAGATGGTTGTCTTTTCGGGGTATGGTATGCATGGAACGGCGGAACAAACAAGTTTGTTTCGTTTTTTGGTTTTTTCCCCTTTTGGTTTCTTTTCTCTGTCCGGGCAGAAGGAGTGTAGCCCCCCCTCGAAAAACTACGCAGTTAGCCTAAGTTAGAGCTCTCGAGTCTCGACCTGACTATTGCCGGCCGTTGGCAGGTAGGCATGTACAGCGGAGTCACAAGCTCAGGCACAGGAACGACAGGCAGCAGGTGGTCGCGGGACGGCAAAGAAGAATGGCAAAAGGCATTCAACGATCGCGACTCAAAGAATGGAAGTTAAGGTGTCTGATTTCTGCTTGAGTGCCAAGGATGATAGGCTGTCGATCTTTCTCTCTTTTCTTTTCTGTTCTGCTCTGTTCTGTTTCATTTTCAACTACTACTACTTTGCGGCTCCCCTGGCGGGCCTGAGTTGTATTATACGCTTATTGTGGTCTTCATGTGGTCTTATGTTATTATCAACTAAATACGAACTTAGGTCCTTGAGAAAAACAAGACTGAGAAAAAGAGAGAAGAACGACGATTTTTGGTACAGGTTTTTACTGAAATACGTTTTGATTCTATTAAGAAGATCATGAAGACTGGTACTCTTTTTTTTTTCCCTTGGTTCATTGCTTGCAGCAGTGTTAAAAGTTCACGAAGTCAGGACTCGAGATCGGAATACAAGATTAAAAACCCGACAGACTGTGGTGCAATTTGCAGAATCTTTTTCAAATTTCAATGCTTCCTGTTGCGATAACAGATAGCGGTCGGACAATTTTCTCGTCAGAGTTCTTTCTTGACATTTAGCATGGAAGAAAGAAGTGGATGGGACGTACTCATAAAACGAAATTTCAATGGTCCACACCCAACTTCTCAATCCGCAGAGACAACCGGATACCAATTTCCTTAGCAGTTTACGGATGTGAGACGTGATTTTAATATTAAAAAAAAAAAAAACAGGGAGGAAAACCGGGACAGTCCGCCGCGGGAAAGAGGAAAGCTGCAAGGGTCGAAGATGTGAGGAGGGTAGGGGAGGGTAGGGACGAAAAGGGCGAAAAGGAGAAGGCGAAGGAGGGCGAGAGAGAGGGAAAGAAACAGGGAAAGGACGGAAGAGGAAGAGAAGAGGAAGGGGAAGAAGGAAATGGGCAGGAGGAAGAATTAGGAGTGCTGCCACCCCTGCACCCATGACAGATGTAAAACGTATCCTGAGCGTGATCGAGTTTCAACAAATCTGAAGTTGAAGTAGTATAAGTAGGGTAATGGAGATTGAAGGAAGGAAAAACTGAAACCCTGGATGCAGATGTTTTACGAGTGTTTGTTTGTTCTTTTTTGTTCTCGTTTGCGATCTAACCTTTGACAATGGCTGTTTGACCTAACAACAAGCAACTGTATCATCATTGTGTCCTAATCATTGATCATAGAGGATTGACGTAACACTGAGATGATGCTAAAACAGCCAAGCAAATGAAGTGGTTTTCCAACCATTTGCTTCATGCATCCTTCCACACAAACATCCGCTCACCCATCCATCCACCCATCGTCCCTGCAATCTCATGATGTAGAACTGATGAAGTCATGCATCCAGTGTTACTGCCCCTAATGTTCGGGGGCACCCTGAACTTTCAGCCCCTCGCCCAAACTCCTGTCTCTTATACACATCTAGATGTGTATAAGAGACAGGTGTGTGTGTGTGTGTGTGTGTGTGTGTGTGTGTGAGAGAGAGAGAGAGAGAGAGAGAGAGAGAGAGAGAGAGAGAGAGAGAGAGAGAGAGAGCATGCGGAAGCAGGCATGTGCATGGACAGCAATTCCCTGTCTCTTATACACATCTAGATGTGTATAAGAGACAGGTGTGTGTGTGTGTGTGTGTGTGTGTGTGAGAGAGAGAGAGAGAGAGAGAGAGAGAGAGAGAGAGAGAGAGAGAGAGAGAGAGAGCATGCGGAAGCAGGCATGTGCATGGACAGCAATTCCAGGGCCATAGAATATATTGGGCCCCCTTCATTCATTTTATGCCTAAGTACCTCAGTGGTATTTGTGGTTGTAACCATTGCATACCCGGCCGTGTGGAAGTTGGCTCTGGGAGTACTTCCTCCGGATCCGTGAGACACCACCCCACCATCTTTGCCCTGTTTATTCACATTTTGGAGGTCATTTCGAATGTCAACATTGCTCTCATAAAGTCTGAGGCCCTTATTAGTGTGGTTAGGTCGTCTACAAAAAGGATTGCAGTTGGTATTTTAAGAAATTTCAAATTTGTCATTTGGTTGGTCCAGAGTTATCAGCCTTTCAGTGGACAGGTCCTTCCTCGAGGAGAAGGTTATGGGTTCCCTAATAAACAAGAAAATCGGTGCTGCCTGTGGGTCGCCCTGTCTGACAGATCTGGACTATTCCATACTTATCTGAGAGATAGTGGTTGACTTATACCTGCACGTGAGCATCATTGTATAGGACCCACAATCATTTTCTGAAATTAGGTCTGTTTCTCATCTTTACCATACATCTACGAATCCCCCGCTGGTGCGAAACGCGCAGCCGGTCAGGGGGGAGGGTGGGAGGTCGGAGCGCCGGGTTTGTTTGCACAACCGCGGCCCCTGCCCTTCTTAACCAAAAAAACAAAAAACAAAAAATTACTCGGGGGGGGGTCGATTTTTGTGAGTTGCGAGGGTACAAACAAAAATTTGCCCGCCCCCGGTGTCAGAATGTTGTATTGTGGGGGTGAGTGGGACGTGCGAAGGTACAGTAATAAACCCAGTCTACAGGATATTCGTCAGATGTCGAAATACATAACGTCTCCAAATAATCGTGAATGTGATCTGTGATACAATGTCTGGTAACCAATAGACTATGAGAAGAGAGGGGGAATAGACAGATCAGAGGGTAGAGGAGATATCCATTAATAACCACAGACATAGCAGCCCAACAATACCCTCTCCTTCTCCGGGCTTCCCTCTCGCCACCACGTCAACAACAGTGTCCAATAACGAGCCTGACAGGTCAGATCACATCAAGAGTGCCGCGTGGCACAGTTCTCTTATGAAGACGTTCAGCAGCCTCAGTATCGACGTCAACAGCGGGTAAGTATCCCATTCCTTCTCAATCATCCACAGATCCCGATCTCCCTCCTTGTCGCGTCCAGCGGGGTATTGTAGTACGCGTGTGCACCAAAAAAAAAAAAAAAATCGTTGACTGAGGGGTTTTGTGGGGGG